CCCCCCTCCCCCCATTCTACACCCATTCCCGATATAAGCAATTTTCAATTCTTCAACTTTGGATATCGATGATGTCGAAAATCAAATAATTTAAAGATAACTTTACGAATGTGTGTGGAGAAGTAATCAGTGCACCTGAGCCTGTGGTGTAGATGTTAGACACTTCGCCGTCGCACACAGAAGACTTGAGTTCAATTCCCGTGTGGGGAGGATTTTTATCGAGTACCTCGTTCTTTATGGTGGGACGTTGCATCCAACTTAGCCCGGCCGGCTGGTCCTGACAGGCAGGGTCGAAGCTTGCCTCCTCAAATAATCTAAATTATGTTTTTAGGGGCGTAAAATAAAGCCTACCTGCATTTTGATATAAAGACAAGAAAGCAGCCACTATCATTGTTATGACGTCGATGGCCTATAGTGGTTAGGTTGTCGAACTTGCAACCGTCAAGTCGTGGGTTTGAATCCCTTCGTTGTGTCCCTGGGAAAGGCACTTCACACGAATTTTCCTCACTTCACCCAGGTGGAAATGGCTATAGATCTAGAAAGAGAAAGATCTTGTCAGTTTGTTAGTGTTTGAACGCTAAATCAGCTGCTGTTTCCCACGAGCGGAGAATGGTTCTGAGTGTTCAAAGCTTTGCTGAGGTAATAATACTAATATAGTGCAGAGCCAAAGAGCTTGCTGTCGGGCAGGGATATGCGCTACACAAACGATTACTATTTATTATTTTATCTATGTGTGTACCCAGTGAGACAGGCGTGATGCTCAAGAGAATGGGGGCCGGGGATTTCTTTGGTGAGATCGGCATTCTCAACCTGGACGGAGGTATGAACAGGTGGGTGAGCTGGTAGACTAATCAAAGGTGAGATAAGATGATTCTTTATTGTCCCTGTCGGAAATTTTACATGGCTGTACAGGTATGGTAAAAAACACTATGTATACATAGAACATAAATTATATATAACTTTAATTAAAATCCAGTATGAAGAGAGAAGTAAAGCTGACAATAATGCACATATCACATCAGATGCATCTTTCAACCACATGTAGGAATTTACCAGTGACACGGGTGAATTTGCACTGACACAATAATGTTAGTTTCACGGCCAGGAAATGGAAGCGACCTATAACTGTTTCAATTTGTTTTATATTTTTAAACTGCAATTGTCAGGGAAAGCAAACAACACACACACACACACACACACACACACACACACACACTAAC